AAAAAAAAAAAAAAAAAGGAAAAACTTGAGCCACTGCCCAGAAATAAAATGTGCATATGGGGCAGGGGGGTGGGTAGTTCTTTACTATTCTTTTAGAGATACAAGCATTCTGTTTCTTCACTAGTAAATTCTTTCTGTTATGGGACTCCATGTGCTTTGTTCCTGGGATTCTTTTTTCCATTTTTAGAAGTTAGAAACAATTTCAGCTGCAAGTAATAGAAACCTTGATTCGTGTAACAAGGAATTTTTTTCTTAAGTAATCAGCAGTCCAGGGAAAGGGCAGGATTTAGATTTGATTCAGGGGTACAACAATCAAACATTTTTGCAGTCCACAGTGTCAAATTTATTCTAAGGCTTAATTTTCTTGTGATTGTGAGGTAACTATCAACTTTTAAAATAAGGGCCACCTACTTCCAGCAGGACATATAGTCTTTTCCTCACCAGAGAACCAAATCCTATGCCTCAGTCTGATTAGGCCCAATTTAGGTCTTGTGCCCACCCCAGACCAGTAACAGTGGCCAGGGAAATGTCTTGCACTAACTGGCTTAGATTAGTCAGGACCTCTGGAACTGGGGATGGGGTCCACCTCCCCAATCACATGAACTATGGGAAAGGAAGTTTCCTGAACAAAAAAAAAAAAATGAGCATTCTGGTATGAAAAGAGGAGGAAATAGACGCGAAAGAGGTAATCAATAGAATGCATCATACTTCTCTCTCACTCCTGACTGGCCTGGTAATCTAGTGCTAAATGTTTTGACTCATTACTAACAGCATGCTTTACTGGCCATAGCACCACTTATAATTTGGGGTAAGTGGCTGCTGCTGTGGGGCAATGAATAATTAAAGTTAAGAATGCTAAAGAAACTTTCTGGTTGAACCTACAGCCATGATGTTGACCCACAGTTATGCACACGGGTACTTTTGTCCAGCATAATATCTACTCAGAAGTGTAGCACAGGAAAGAAAAACCTAAACAGCGAGAGCATGGCACGTGTCTGATTTACTGCTCTTATGAAAATTAGGACCTGAATAGTATCCCGCAACTTACTAAATAAAAAGGCAAGATAGGATTATTGAAATAAGGTCCTAGAGGGTGACCTGACGATTAGCATTGCAAGGATACTCATCACAGCAGGGTTTTACAGGACAGGGCGATTTTGTTGAGGCAGTAAGCAATTCAAGCAACAGATATAGAAAACCCCAAACTATAAAACAGAACAAACCCTTGAAGAATTAAGTATATTGTTTATAGGTCAGCATTCTTTCCATTGTACTATTCTGTCTTTAGCAGTAAAATCCTAAAATTCTTCAGATGGGGTTAACCAAGAAAGAGCTTTCATTCTCAAGTTCTTAGCATGGAAAGTAATGTTTTTGCAACTTAGAGGACAAGGAAGAAAAAGGATTCCTCTCGATATTGTCCAAGTTTTACACAATAAAAAAAAAGGAGAAAACAAAGCTTTACATGGTTTTCTAACCCAGACAGCTGAATTTTTTGTTTCTATTGGAGAGAGCAGGTAGAGATATAATTAAGTCTTTTCCTAAGACTGGAAAAAAATGGAGTGGCCAATTCTATATGGTATAAATAAAGAGATGCTATCAGGACAATAAGAGATTCACCTGTGTATTAGAATTCTTAAAGGGTCTGCTGTTTTTTAATTTGCAACAAGAGTACAGGATCTAGGTGTTTTCATGCATCCCCTTAGCTCTGTTCCTAAACAAAATTTTTAATTCAACAGTGTGGATTTGAGAGGACTGTTTTTGACAGTATGGATTTGGGAGGACTGTTTTTGAGGCCTCAGAGTTATGACATGGGCAGTAGTCAGTAGAATATGCTTGCAGATACAAACAGAACTGAATCATGAAAGTGGCGAGGATGTCATTTCCTCAAACTTTGGCTTTTCTAGTTTGTAGTAAGTAGAAAAAGTACACTGGGGTACAAAATTCACTTGTTATGAAGTTATTTGGCATATATAAATACCTTTTGGTTGCATTGAGAAATAAAAAATATAAGTAGACAGCTACTTTTTAGTATCCTAACTTCCCTACAGATAAACTATTATGATTAAATCCTGGTTGGTTTTCTGATAGCTTCCATTTTACAATTTAATTCCTATATTTTAAACTTAGTTGTTCTTTCCAAACACATCATGGGTAGTTTCTAAAGACAGCACATAACACATACTGTTTCCGGATTTCCACAATTAATCCTGAATTTATTTCATTTCCATTCGTAGAAAGTCTGAAATATTTTCCATTGACACTTCATAAAGACAGAGCTATAGAGTTCTATCTCAATTTGCAATGGATTACTAGAAAGAGGTAGCATATTACATGGACTATCATAAAAACCAAGATAAGAAACTAATAACCTATATTCTCTAAAAACTATTTGCATCACCAGATCATTATGTGCAAGCACTTCTAAGGCATGGGGGGAATTAGCAGTTCATAGCTACAAGCATGAGATGCCACTTTCTATAATCATCTTTATTTCTTTCAACTGATGGAAACTTCCATCTCACTTAAGGATTTTACAGCAAACAGGATCAGGAACATTTCTTTTGGCCTATATCCTTTTGTGTCTTTTTCTCTCTCCTGACATTCTCTTATTAGCCTAGAATTCTTATTTTTCAAAAAAAGGAGACTAGGTTGAATTTTTATCCCTTTGAAATGTATCTCACTGGACCCCTTATAAATCGCTTCCTTAGCTACAGTGAATTTGCACTTATTTTTAAATTTCTAAGTTCCTAAGCGGTCCCATATTCTTTAGGTTTAGTTAGAATTTTATATTTTAACATTGCCTAGAGTTGGAATTTTGGATGGCTTAAAAGCATTTTCAATTTTTTAAACAGTGGCCTGTGAGGTATACTTAGCGTTTTGAAAGAGATATGCTTTTCAGAAAAATGCCCTACAATTTTCATATTCCTACAGACTTACATTCTTTCAGAGCAGCTAATAAAATTCAAATTAACAAGAGTTTCAAAAACTTTCATTTTCATGGTCTCACCTTGATACTCTGTCATTTAAATTTACAGAGGAGCTTGATATTTACAGAAACTTGTGAATCCTGATGACCTTGCTTAATTTATTTATTTATTTGAAGTTGATTTTTACATGCTAGGTTTTACTAAGCAGCATACAAGAAAAGGATTAAGTTTTTAAAAAAATTTAGACTCAAATACTATTATGTCATTTCTGTCTTCACATATGTGATAACTTTAAGACAGGGTTCCTCCACGTCTGCATTACTGACATTTTAGGCTGCATAATTCTTTGTTGTGGGGGGCTTTCCTGTGCATAGTAGGATGTTTAGCACCATCTCTTGTCTCCTCTACCAGCTAGATGCCCAGAGCACCCCTGCCTCACCCCTCCCTGGCCCCACAACTTCTGACAACCAAAAACTATCTCCAGACATAGCCAAATGACCCTTGCAGGGGGTGGGGGAAGGAGAGGAGGGAGGCAAAATGGCCCTAGTTGAGAAATGCTGCTCTACAAGGCATACTATTTTGTGCATCAAAACTAAAGATTCTATTATAATAAGCCTCAATCTTTATTTTTATAAAAAAGGCATATAGCAAGTGGAACCAAAACTTTATGGCAGTGAAAATGTATTTTAAAATATCAAATTGAAACTGTAATTAGAAACTGGTCAGTTTCTGTGCAGTGAGGTCTGATTTTAACTGAATCTCAGCTGCTTTCAAAGTTATTTCCCTGTAAAGGGCACCACTCACTTTTAGGTTTGTTTTCAACATCATCTTCTTTTCTCTCTGAAGCTCTTTTCTGTACCAATGAATTTTTTCCTCTCTGTCTGATAAAGTAGCCACAACACTACTCTTTCCTTTGCTTGCTTCACACCTCTGCACAAAGTTGCTTTCAACTTTAGCTAAGGCAGAAGAAAGAGAACAAAGCGTAACCAATTCCTTCTCCAAAGACAATGCCATATGATTAATTAGGAAATCTTCACTTCCTAATTTTAGATTTCTCAAGAAACAGTTTACAGGGAGAACTGTGATGAGATTATGAAGGCACTGGAACAAAACTGTTCGATTCCTGAAATAAAAAAAACAAACATAATATTACAAAAATCTGCACAGCACAAAGTGGTCATGTACAACATACTATAGTAATCAATTTTCATTTATAAACACTAATGATGAATAGAACCAATAATGCATGCGATCATTGATAAAATTCAGACTGTAGCAATCAAATATATGTATCCCCCTATACCAAGTCAGTTAATATTAATCAGATTATTTTCAATTAAATTTTTTTTGCTGAATAATAATATCGGTATAATATTTTTAAAAATTTCACTGTGGAGAAGTAAATGGAAATCCCAAAATAATTACTAAGTCCTAAAAAGAGCCAAAAACAAATATAAAATTAAAACAGAGATCTTCAGTTTCTAAAGGAGACCAATCTGTCCACTCGTGCTACACCAAGCCATGGCTCTGACCTGTTCCTCAACAGCACAGAATTTTATGTGGGGATCACTGTTGGTCCACACATTCATCACACTCACACATAATAACTTCTGAAGACTGATTCCAATTTGATGTACATTACCTGGAATAAATTATTAAAATCCCTTCAAATGGTGTTCTTTGTTTCCATTTGAAGAGTGTCCCATAGAAACTTCCTGGCTTTTTACAAAAGCACATTTCTGGAAATTCTTTGATGACTTCACATTTCATGAGTTCTAAGAGCCATGTCTTCACTGAACCCAGGGCATATTTACGTGACGTGATTTGAAAACAAGATTTGTGGAATGCTGCGAGAAGTACAAAAAGATCTTCCATGTGCTCTACAAAAAAAAAAAAAAAAAAAGTCACAAGCTCTATCGTATCATTAAACTCTGTCTGTTATCAGATAAAAAGAGTTCTTAAACTTTTCTAATTCAATTAAATATATGATTAAAAAGTACCAACAAAAATTACCTATAGGTTTCTTCTTTGGAAATGTCAGTATGTATTTCCCACTTGAAAGATCTTCTAGACTTAAAAGAAGTCTGCCACACAGAATATAACGATCTTCAGGATAGTCACCAGTTTCTTTCTCCCTAATTTGTAGCAGCACAACGCAACAAAATTTATTGAATGCTAAAAGTGGTGCAAGAGATGTTACAGCAGTAATTATTTGTACACATTTTTTCTTAGATGGTTGTTCACAAACAAAGCTTTCCTTTTCCTCTCTATCAAGGGTCAACCTGATCCTTTTTGCCTCTAATCCTATTTCATGTGGCATCAAGTGTGGTGCTGGGAAAGAATCCATACTCAACTTAATCACCCTATTTTGACATTTAATAAGCGGAAAGCTGGAGCCACGGGCTTGATCCATTATCAATGATAAAGTCGCATCATTCAGGGACCTGTAAAAAACCCAGAGTTTGGTTTAGTCTAAAAGCTCATTCTTTAAAATCAAATAGATGATTAAATGCCATACAAACAACAATAAAAATTTTTTATTCTCTCCTTTCCTAGAAAACATCATTTCAAATGTAAAATGTATCAGAGAGTTAAGAGTAAAAGCCAAACACAGTTTTAAAAGTCCTATGATAGCACTTCTCTTACAAAAGGCAAGCAAAAATATTGTAAATATGCTGGATTTTAGAACAATATTTTTAAGATAAAGGAATGGTATTAATAAAATAATACCTGGATTTTATTTTTGAGGTAGGTTTTTCTCCCTGCTCTTTTTAAATAAGAAAAAAAAACTACTCATTATTTCTTAAGAGTGTATTTTGGTAATGATTTAGAATGCAAACACCTCTAAACTAGAAATTGCATTTTATGTTCCCCTAAAGGACTTGAGTTAAATCTGCTTTTTCATACAGAATATTGTTTATCCCTCAGCAATTCTTTTCAGATTTACATTTCTAACAATTAACAAAGATGATACAGGTTTATTTTAGCATATTCCAACATTACCAAAGTTGATAAACAGGTGAGAATGGTGACATGACCAAAGAGAGGATTTTAATGCAGGAATTTAATACAAGAAATTCCTTTAATATAAGAAATTCACTGTATATATAGTGGGTTATAATAAGGATTAAAAAAGAGCTTAAAAATCTTAATTTGTAATAATCATATTGTGAGTGTACTACTCTATGAATACTGCAAATATATTGTGGAATGAAGCAAATGAGTAATTATATTGGTACAACTGAGAATTGGGATTTTCAGTGAGGGAGAAAGGATATAAATGCAAGATTGGTGATAATAAGCAAAAACCTTAAGGTCTTGGGTCTGAATTGGAAGTATCAGCATGGACTTATGCTGTACTTCATCTCAACATAAACAAAACCACAACCAACCAATCTAACAAAAAATGTGTCTCCTACTTCTGCCCACTAAAAAGGCCTAGAACAACAACCCACTCATGAGCAATGAGCACCTTTTGTGCCCAAACTCTGATTTTAAATTATGAACTATATTTGAGGGTCTAACTAAATAATTGATGGGAAGTTTCTCTTTATAGAAGTATTTTAGCCAGTAAATCAAGAAGCAATAATAGAATTAGAATACCATCATGTTGCAAATCCTAATTAAATAATGGGACTAAGCAATAATCATCAATAGCTGCTAATATCACCAGATGAAAATGATCAGACTTTATAAGCCTTGTAATAGAAGAAAGCAACTATTAAGTATTCTGTTAACAAAAATTCATGCATTAATCTGATCCAAACAAAAATTCATGCATTAATCTGATCCACTTTCTAGATCTAACTATCAATTTAGAAGAAATACAGGAGACACAGAAACATGTTAAGCAATACCACAGGATGAAATCAGCAAAATCTAGTCCATAGTACTTCATAGGGTAAACTGCCTGATTTCTTCAAAATATACAAGAAAAAAAAAAGACACACAAAAAATCCCTATAGATTACAAGGGACTTAGATATATCAGTCAAGTCCAATTTATTTGGCTCATGATTTGAAAAAAATATTTTAAAATAAAGACAAGTGGAAAATTTGAACATTTACTGGGGGAGTTACTGTTAATTTTGGGGAGTGATTATATTTTTGAAGTTCTTACTTTTTAGATACCTACACTGGAATAGTTACAGATGAAATAATATGATACCTTTGAGTGCTTCAAAATAATCTGGGGGCTGGGGATCAGGAATGCATGGAGGTATATACGAAACAAGATTAGTAATGAGCTGATAATTACTAGAGCAGGGTGATGGGCAGATGGGATCATCATACTATTCTCTTTGTATGTTTGAAATTTTCTATATATAAAAACATTTTTTAAAGTAATTCTGTTTGGTATATTAAGGAAATAAGAAAAGATGGAAGATACATTAGACAATAAAAAATGATCAGGCAGTTCTGAAAAAGAATAGAACTTGACATAAATGCAAACAATAATAATAATTAGAAACTCATGACTGGATTAAATAGCTGAATAGAGAGAACTGAAGATAAAATTAGTGAATAGAATATAGATCAGAAGAAACTATCTAGGATTCAGCACAGAGAGATGAAAATACAACAGAGGTTAAGTGACATGGAGCATGGAATGAGGTCTAACAGAGGACTAACTGGAGTTTCATAAGGAGATAAATACCAGAGAAAATGAGGAAGCATAAATATTTGAAGAAATAATATTTAGGAATTTTTTGAACTGCCAGAAAAAAACAATTTTCAGAGCCAGGAAGCTTAATAACCTAAAGGAGAATAAGAAATTTGCATCTAATCATGTCATGGTTAAATAGTTAGAAAAAGAATAACAGAATAAACCTAAGGAAAGTAAAAGAAAACAATTTTAAAAATCAGAAATTAATAAACAGGAAACATACAACTAAAGATCACCAAAAAATTTAATTATTTGAAAAGACTAATAAAATGGATGAATCTCTGGCAGATTAATCAAGGAAAAAAAGAGACAAAAATAAGATTTGAAATAAAAAGAGATTGACAATTACTAACAATATATTTGATAAATACCTAAGAGGATCTTAGAAACACCTTATGCTAATAAATGTGATAATTAATAGAAAAATAAGCAAAATGCATTGAAGAATAAATTATAATGTGAAATCTATAACTATTAAAAAATTGAATCAGCAGTTAAAAATCATCTCATAAAGAAAATGCCAGATTTCTACTGCTTTCCAGGTGAGTACAAATGAATAACAAAGAATAGATAATTCCAAATATATACAAACTGCTCCAGAGAACAGAAAAAAAGGAAATACTCCTTAACTCACTTATAAACTGGTATATCCTTGCTGCTAAAACCAGGCAAGTATCGTCCAAGAAAATTTCAAGCCAATTTCACTCATAAACATATATGCAAATATTCTTGACCAAATGTTAAAGCAAATCCAGCAATGTATCAAAATGATATAATGAACTTGATTATCTCAGGAGTAAAACACTGGTTTTATAATTAATTTTTGAAAATTGATTAATAGAACACCATATTAAAGAAAAGAAAAACCCAGATGATCAATCAGCTCAAACAGCTTAGAAATTCACTGAAACAATAGAATACATCCATATCTCAAATCCACTAGATGAGTAGTCTGGATTCCTTACTGTGTTAAGCTGCTGAAATACACTGCCACTGTCTATTACAAGGCACTAATCATTTCTTCCTCTCTGCTTGCATATTTGTGGTTCAAATACAGTTATTGCAATGCCTGTATTTAGCCTGTTTTGATTAAAAAAAGCTCATTGTTAGGGATGCAGACAGCATACACATTACTTCCCTATCCATGATTTCAATAGTCCCAAAGAGAAAACCCTCTCAGAGTGAGATATTTTGTTATTTAACTAAGTTTTTACCTATCCACTTTGGTCAATAGTCTCTAAATGTTCCCAATACTTCTACATGTTTTGATTAGAAAGTTCTGTGTGTTATCATTGCCACCCTGAAACTACGGCATCTTGATTTCATAAACCTTATCCTCTTCATATTATTAACTCAACACGTTAGTGTAAAACAGATACTTCTGGAGCTCTACTGACCAAGAGAGTAGCCACAAGGTACATGTGACTACTGAGCACTGAAAATGCAGCTAGTTTGAACTGTGATGTGTTTTACATGTAAAATACACACCAAATTTTAAAAACTTAGTATGAAAAAATAAATGTAAAATATCTCATTAATAATTTTTATATTGATTACATGTTAAAATGATGTTGTCAATATATTGGATTAAATAAAACATATTAAAATTAATTTCCCCTGCTCCTATTTAAATCTTTTAGTATGACTACTAGAACATGTAAAATTGCATGTGTGGCTTGCGTTAATTTCTATTGGACAGTGTTGTTCTGCAGCATCAAGATAGTGTTATCATGTTAGAATTTACTTACAGTTTCAAAGAAGATGTGGTTTTCACTCCAACAACCAAGCTATCATCCATTACACGATACCATAACTTCTCTACCAGTTGTTCTGAATCTTGAAAATTGTTTGGTAACTTTTCGTCAAAGATATGGACAGAATTTTCTTCTTCACCCCAAAGTGGAACGAGATATTCCTTACAAAAATATGTTTAAGTAACTGATTACAAAAAAATGTACCAAATATAGCAAAAAAAAAAAAAAAAAAATACAGCTTGTGGCCATGCCTTATGGCCTAAACATTTTAAAATAGATTATACTATATTATGGATTATATACAATTTACTAAAATAAAACTTATAAAACACATAGAATTAACTATTTACTCAAATCAAGAAGCATGGCATAACTGGAAACAAGATGGGGTATCCAACATAGAGTCAGCAAGGAAGTAAACCTGGATCCATTTTGAAAAAAGATCTGACAATATGTACCCCAGCTACACTGAAAACAATCCAATTTGTATTTTATCAGTGACTTGCACTAAGCCTATATCTGTAAACTTTTGTATGAATAAAATTGATAAAGCTATCTTTGGACTGCTTATATTAGGTTATTAAGTATGGAATGTCTGATTTCCTTAAGTACTAAGTTTGACAGTTGATACCTCTGACATTTCACCTTTACACTTTTTTTTTTAATTGTGAAGGTACATCCTCACATTCTTTCAAATGCACTTTTGGCTTGTAATTATCTTTCAATTTTTTTAGAGCAATTTTTGTGAAACCATGGATAAGTCAAAAATTCGTGTTAGTTTTTAATATAAGTTCCATTGTGGAACCAATGCAGCGCCAACAGCTCGAAATATCAATGAAGTATTTGTGAAGGATGTGGCTAATGAATGCACAGTACATCAATGGTTTGAGAAGTTCCATTCTGGTGATTTTAATCTTGAAAATGAGCCATGTGGGTGACCTGAGACCAAGGTGGATAATGATGAGCTGAAAGCTGTAGTAGAAGTGAATCCATCTTAACCTACCCGTGAATTAGCAGCAAGGTTTGACGTTATTATTCCAACCATGTTGGACCATTTGAAACAAATGGGCAAGGTAAAGAAGCTGGGTACCGCATGAATTAAATGAACATCAGAAGAGAAATTGTCATAAAGCTTGCCTTTCTTTGCTGTCATGACATAAAGGCAAACCATTTCTACACACTGCATTGTTGCGTGTGATGAAAAATGGATTTTTTTTGACAATCACAAGCATTCAGCACAATGGTTGGATAAAGATTAAGTGCCAAAATATAGTCCAAAACTGAATATCCATCAAAAAAAGCTAATGGTGTCTGTTTGGTGGTCCAGTGCTGGTATTATCCACTGCAGCTTCATGAAACCTGGTCAATCCATTACAGCAGATGTCTACTGCAACCAGTTGGATGAAATGATGAGGATGCTTGTGATTAAGCAGCCGAGATTGGTCAGTGGAGACAGGCCAATCCTCTTGCAAGACAACACTCAACCACATGTTGCACAAACAATGCTGCTCAAACTACAGAAGCTGGACTTGGAAACTCTCTGTCATCCGGAAACTCTCTATCATCCACTGTATTCACTAGACCTTGCACCAACTGACTACCACTTCTTCTGGGCTTTGGACCACTTCTTGCAAGGAAAAATATTCAATGCTCAACAAGCTGTGGAAAACACCTTTTGCAATTTCATTGCCACTCGCTCTGCAGGACTCCTCACTGCTGGCATAAGCAAACTACCCTTAAGATGGCAAAACCGTGTGGACAGTTTAGGCGCAAACTTTGATTAATTGTACTGATTCTTGTTTGAGATATAGTAAACTAAACTTTTGATTCAAAATAGGACATTTCATATTTAATGAACTAATAGCTTATGTTAAAATTTTATGCTTAAACTCCAGGCCATACTGACTCATTTCCACACATATATGGATTTATAATATCATTAGAAATTTTGTAGTAATAGTAGCAATAACAACATACAACACTTATTGAGTGCTTACTTTACACCAGGCACTGTTCTAAATGCCATTCATGTATCAATTCATTTAACCCTCACAATAACTTCAGTATTGTAGGTCAGTAGTATTACTATCTACATTTTAGAGATAAGGAAAATGAGGCACAGGGAAGTTAAGTAACTTGTCCAAGGTCACATAGCTAACAAGTAGCAGCACTGGAATTTGAACTGAAGCAGGCTGGTTCCAGAGCCCATGCTCTACTTTAATCATTACTCTATACTGACTCTCTATGTGGTAATTACTGAAAAAAGATATGGGCACTCAGACAATAGTGGACTAAACATTTTCTTAGGAATCTGACACTTTTAGCTGAGTTCTGAGGCAGGCTATTCATCTGAAACCTGAGGAAATTTTCACCACCTGCCAGGCTTGCTTCTAAAATTAACAAAGTAAAGGTCCAAAAATGGGGCCTTGCATATAGTGGTTTCAATAAATTAATTTCTAAACATTCCTTCCCCTAATACTGGCAAAATTGTTGAGGGGAGGTGGGAAAGGGAAAAGGGGAGACTTAATTTTAACAATGACTTTCGTGAGGTTTCCCAGGAAATTAGAACAGTAATATAGAAACACAACATGTCTTTTGTTGTGTTGTTTACATTAACAGGACCATGTTTTGGACCAAAATCCTCATGTGGCTAAGACTGAAATATAGACACAAGGCATAGATCATGACAGGAATGGTCAATCCAGGAGGAAGTCAGAGCTAGGTACTTAAAGTGACTTGAGGGAATAAAATGCAGCATTAAGTTTCTCTATGTCCAGCTTTTCTTGATTTGTTTGTCATTTAACTATGCTGTATCTTTCTCTGTATGGAATCAATGTGCATAAATACTATTTTTTACGAAGTCTGAGCAGTTTTTGCTAATTTTCTACATTACTGTACTGGCATAAGTAACTGCAAGGTATCTGAGGGAGTTCTTATGATGGTCAGCCACAAGGAAAAAATAGAGTAAAACTATAAGAAACAGATAGGACTAAAAAAAAAATAGCAATTTAGGGACATTTACTAGAGGAAAAAATATCTATCCTTAGAAATGAACAATGCAATAGACTAAAAGAACAATTATAATACTAATGATAAAATTATATCAGCACCAATGCAAAGTTAAATCATGCTCAGTATATTCTATAAGAAGTTAGGAAATATATAATTTACTTGGATTTTCGATCCAAACCACACAAAGAAAGTTTCTTTTTTAAACAAAAGGACTTGTTCCCCAAGGTTCCTGATAACTGAGATTTTAATATCCTACAGAATTATATGCAAATTAGTAAAATACTGGTTCCTTAATATTTTTCAATGTCATAAAAGTCCACCATTATAATCCCTGCCACTCTTCTTGATCCACTGAGCAGCATTTTCTAATATATTCCAATATTCCTATTTAAATAACTCTGCAATAGCTTGCAGATTTTCAATTCATAAAATGATAAAATGGTC